TTTTTTACTTTGTCCAATATTATGAGAGAATGTCAGAAATTTTTCTGATAGCAAGTCCTCTGCCTCCTTTGCTCTGTCAATCCAGTCATTGTGTCCAGAGCAATGAGATTACTTTGTCATGTGTTGCTCTTAGGATCCCATGGTGCTTCTGAAGATCACTGCTTTCCATTCTAAATGGAAAACTACCCGCTAAATACCCCAGACTAGAATTTTTATTGCATAGCAATAGTTGATTGTTTCTAGAATCTATCTTTCACCCTTCTCTGGAAACTTTAACATTGCTTGTGTCCAGACTTCTCCTTGATATCTGTAAGACTGTAGTTCCCTCCTTGGATCAAAATTCCACGTTTACTATGATCATTCCTACTCCTTGTGTATAAATGTTGAGACCTCTGAGATCATAAGTATTATAGCTGAACCCATTCTCAATGAATTCCTAGTGGGAATTATTATCATTCTTCTCTCTTGCTTTCATGTTTTGGTTTAAGGAACTCTGTCTCAGGTTAGAAATCATGAGCTGGCAAAGGTATTCTTCTTGAGCCCCTGGTGTTGTATCTGTATCCTGGAATGGGATTTAACATTCTGGTAGCTTTGCCTAATAGTCAAAATCCTGTTTATGGAGATCATCTACACAGCTGGCTCTTCACTTTCCAAATCTTCCTTTTTCCAGCTGTTCTTTGGGACAGGGACATGAAAATAAGACCTATGCAACGACATCCCTGAGTTGCCAAACCAGGAAGCAATGTGGTATTATGGCTATCACATTCAAAAGGTAGTCATCTTCTTAAATTCTATCCTCTCCTTGGCTACTTGCTAGCTCTGTGACCTGAAACAAACCACCTTAGTCCTCTGGGCTTTGCTTTTCTCATCTGATAGGCAGAATAGTAATGCCTTTCCTGCCTATATCTCAGAATTATGTTCAAAATGAGATGCTATACAGGAAAGTGTGAACTGATCATTACATAAAGGTGAGATACTTTTAGTAACATTACCAAGGCTTCCTGTGAAATGTCAGATGTGAAATTGAACCAGATTCGTGGAATCTCAATGTATCATCATCCACTCATGATCAGAAGATCCTACTTCCCTGATTCAACATCACAATGAAAGAAGGAAGACTAATCAATTTGCTGAACTCATTAATCTTCATTTGATCTTTAGTAGACATCTCTACTAGTAGAGGTACTCAGCTAAACACAGAGCAAGGGAGCTTTAGGACTAGTGGAATTGTGTTCTTTGACAAGCCTAAGTGAAGCAGTGCCCACTGATAAGCACTGCAATTAACTGCCGTGCTATCACTTTAAACAAACCTTTCTCTCCCGTTTTTTTGTCCCTGGGAGAGAGGAGAAGGAGCGGGAGAGATAAAAAATATTGGCTTGTTTTCCTGTTGGTAATTTAATGTTGGTAATTTACAACTGATAAAATTAATTGCTGCCCTTATCAGTGGGTTGTTTAGAAGGTTTGTTTGGAATCCACTGGTTACTCATAAAATCTCAGAGAAGGGAGAGCTGCCAGAATTGGGCCTGGCCTGTGCTGTAATTCCTCCCCAATTTGAAATAAAGACTGTCAGAAATAGGGTTTTACACAGAATTTACAAGTTAAAACAGAGTATTTGAAAGTCATTGATTGCATGTGAATATCATTATGTAAGAAAGTCAGAAAGACAAATGATTATAAGAAAATCATAGCAGGTATGTGTGTGTGTGTGTATTTATTACACACACCTTCCCTCCACCCCCAGCCTTGTTGACCATGAATTTGTCAGCAAGATCAGATCTTCACCACTCCCTGGTTTCTCCTGTAATTCAGGAGATTTGGGGTCTCACTCCCCAGAGGCTGTGTATGGGCATACACATAAAGACATACACACACATATAATTTGACATAAAGATATAAGTGTGATTATATCATGCTTGCATTTTTTCAAAGATCCATCTGTTTTTGTTTGTTTGCTTTCCTCCTCTCGTATACCTCACTTTGGTGGTTATTATTTGCCTTACCAAAATGGGTTATATATAATATGCTCTCCCTCACATTGCTTTTTTTTACTCAACAACACCTCAGTAAAATCTTTCCCAGTTGGCTGCTATAACTCAACCATTTCCCTATTGGGCTGGGTGTTTATCTTCTCTCTTTCTCTCTCCTTCTCTCTCTTTCTCTCCTCTTTCTCTCCTCTTTCTCTTCTCTTCTCTTCTCTTCTCTTCTCTTCTCTTCTCTTCTCTTCTCTTCTCTTCTCTTCTCTTCTCTCTGTCTCTGTCTCTGTCTCTGTCTCTCTTCCTCCCTCCTCCCTCCTATGAATGACACAGTTGATTTTCTACAGTAGCAAGTGTAATCCTGTAAAACATAAATTAAATCATGCCATGCTTCTGCTCAAAACCCTGTGGTGACTCTTTGTTTTATCCCCAAATAAAAGCCAAAGTCCTTACAGTGGCCTCCCAGGTCCAACATGTTACCTACCACCCCTGCCCCATCCCATTTCCTCTCTGGCTTCATCCCCCTGTCACTCTTGTTCACTCTGCTCCGTGCACACTACGCTAGCCTCCCTGATGCTCCTTCAACATGCTGGGCAGGCTCTTGCCTTGGTGGATTGCACTGGTTGTACCTCTGTCTTTACCCATATATCCCTCACCTCCTCCAAGCATTGGCTTAACTGCCTTCTGAGTGCAGCCTACTGCTATGAGCTGAATGTTTGTATCCCCCCCGCCCAGAATGTGTACGTTGAAACCTTAATTCCCAAAGTGATGATATTTGGAGGTAGGTCATCAGATGGAGCCCAAGTGATGGAATTAGTGTTCTTCTAAGAAGAGACAGGAGAGAGCTTGCTGCTTCTCTCTGCCCACCATAAGAGGATACACTATGACAGCCTTTGGCAAATCAGGAAGTAGGCCTTCATCAGGACCTGAATCAGCTGGCCCCTTGATCTTAGACTACTTAGACTCCAGAACTGGGAGAAATGAACATTGGCCGTCTAAGCCACCCAATCTATGGTAACTTGTTATTGCAGCCCTTGCTGACTAGCCTTCAGAACTGTGAAAAAATATTTTCTGTAGATTAAACCACACAGTCTGTGGTATTTTGTTACAGCAGCCTGAGCAGGCTAATACAACAACAAAAGCAACCACTAATCTAATTCCAAAAGCCTTGAAAAAGACAACAGATTTTCTGTAGATTTTCTTGAGCAAGTAGCAAAGGGAGGATAATATGGCATAACAAATCTTTAAAATTCTTTCCCATGATTGTTCCATCTTCCCAAATTCCCACACCTCCAGGCAGTTCCCCAAACCTGTCTCTCCCCTTTCTAAGCTGCACTGCTCAATACAGTGGACTAGCCATACATGGCTATTGAACACATGAGATGTAGTAAGGTTGAGAAGCTGATTTTTAAATTTTACTTAATTTTAATTAAATTTAAAAACCAAAGCAGTATAAAGGATTTTCCCATGAAACACAAATGTATTGTCTTAATAGGACTCAATTTCACTTTAATTGTTACATCACTTAATATATCATTGTTGCATTGTAGTGTGTGGGCCGAGTGCTTTTGTTTTTCTGGTGTTATACGTGAACGTGACCCTGATCTAATTTTGGTTGGGTATGACAAGAATGATCCAATCCATATGATCAACTTTCATACTATCTAACTATCCTCCCCCAAGCACACACACACACATATACATACCTGCCAATACTTATACTAAAAAAAAATGCATTCCATTCATTCCTCTCGAAGACAGAAAGCCTAGCCTTGAGCTTTGCAACCAGACAGGCGCAGCCCAGAGAGCTGCGTGCCTATAACACAGTGTTTGGCCCATGTAGACATGTGTCTACTAACTTGTACCCTCAGCTCACACCTAAGGAAACCATAAGAGGCAAAACCACCAAACTGCAATTATGTGACTTGTAGGGATGTCTAGGGCCAAAATGCACACGTGGGTCCCGCTGCCACTCCCTCAACCCTCCCTGCCCTTGAAAGATTTTAAATGCAAGCAAAACGCTCTCAGCCCTCTCTCTTTATGTTCCCACACTGGGAGGGGCATGTTCTCTTCCATCCTTTCCGCCTTTTCCTGGAGTTCCTGGAAATCGGCATCTCTGAGGATGGGGCCCCAGCATCAGTATTTTCAAAGCTCCCAGATATGACCTAAGTTGCATTGAAAGCTGAACAGTGAGTGCTGCATTTAGATTGCAGAACTCCTCTGAGAACACTTGTTTTGCAACCCTCAAGCAGAACACACATCCATCCTATGAAAGTGAGAGAAATGTGATTTGATAATGGGGAGAGTGATGGAATATTAGAGTGTGAGTCATCCACTTAGTGGCAGAAGCAGGAATACATCCCCATGTGGTAGGCAGAATTTGACGATGGCCCTTGTGACCTTCACCCACTGGGACACTTCTGGGATTATATTATGTTACATGTGACAAAGATTCTCTTCTTGACCAAACTCTATTCGGACTCCTCTGAGCCCAATTAGGCCCCATCCCTGGGCATGTCCTTCAAGCACCCAATTTTAGCAAGAATCCCGCCTAGTCAGTTTAGCCAGAATCCCCCACTTTCTATATCTGATCAAATTCCACAGCCCCTGTCATCCCCTAAATGATGTCACCCTGGCGTGTCTTCAGCAAGAATCCTGTTAGGTCGGTTTAGCCAGAATCCCCCTCACCGCTGATGTTGCCTCTTAGCGATTTTCCATCCACTGCTCCTTGCTACAAATTCCCCCTTTTCCTTGTACGCAGAGTTGCACTCAGTCTCTCTCTCCTCCTGCAAAACCCCATCGCAGTGGTCTATAGACCGGTCTTGATAGTCCCTTCTTGAATAAAATCTTCATTACTATTTTTAACTTTTGTCTTTAACACTTGCTACAGGGAGATTACCGAGGTGGGCTCAATCTAATCCCATGAGCCCTTTAAGAGCAGGGAGTTTTCTCCAGCTAGTGACAGAAAAAGTCAGAACGCTTCACAGCGCCAGGGGGATTTGACATGACAGCGGCCCTCTGTTGCAGGAACGAAGGGACCAGGTGGAAGATCTGAAAGTGGCCCTGAGGAGCTGAGAGTAATTCCTGGCCCACAGCTGACAAGAAGACAGGAACCTTAGTCCTACAACTGCCAGGAACTGAATGTGGCCAGCAAGCCGGTGAGCTAGGAAGCAGTTCATTTCAGAGCCTCCAGCTAAGAGCCTGGCCAAGCCTCCTTGGGCTTCTCATCTACAGAACTGTGAGGTAATGAATGGGTGGTGTCTTGAGCCACTACATTTGTGGCACTTTGTCCCAAAGCAATAGAAGTCTAATGCATGTGAGTCTTGGAGCCTTTTTCTTCACAGCAGTTGGTGCCCTCGCAGGCTGGCAGGAAGTTGGTCCTTCTCTTTCCCTTGGGGAGGGGTGGAGTGGTTTAGGGGGTGAAGGAATTTGAATTAAACTGCTACCTCTGCTAATGATAACCCATTGCCATTGTTGAGCGGCTAATAGGAGCCAGCATCCTAACTGGATACTTTGCGTCTGTTGCTTTGATCCTCAGTGACTGTGCATACAGTATGTAGGAGTTTACCATTTGACAGATATAGAACCTGAGGCCCCCCGAAGGCCAGTGAGTGGCCCCAAGACATGTTGCCAGTAAGTGGCAGTGCAGAGGTTCAAGGTCTGTCTGACCTTGCGGTTTTGTGCTGGTGACATCAGATGACCTTGTATTCATTTGCAAGTGCTGCTGTAACAAAGATCATAAACTAAGTGGCTCAAACAACAGAAATTAGTGTCCCAGTTCTGGAGGCAGGAAGTCCAAAATCACCGTGTGGGCAGGGATGGTTCTTTGGAAGGGTGTTGAGGGAAGCATGCGTTCCAGGCCTCTCCTCGCTCCTGGTAGTTTGCTGGCAGTCATTACCGTTCCTTGACTTGTAAGTGCATCACCCTGACCTCTGCTGTCAATCTGACACAGCATTCTCCCTGTGTGAGTCTGTCTCTGAATCCTGTTTTTCATATAAAATTTCCTATTTTATATGAAAACAGTCATATTGGTTTAGGCCCCACCCTAATGACCTCGTTGTAACTTGATCACCTGCTAAGACCTTTTTTCCAAGTAGGGGCACATTTTGGGATCAAGCAAGGGGAGAGGGAGAAGCAGGGGAGGGATAAGAACTTCAACATCTTTGAGGGTGGGAAACACATTTCAACCCATTACAGACCTTAAGATCTAGTTCTTCTTACCTGAAAGGTCTAAGAAGCACACCTGTTTGCAGATGTGTATTGCCTTGCCCCTTTGAATCCTAGAGTTAGAGACTGATATCAGTACCCAGGCCCTAGGCAGAGAGATAAAAGGTGCTTTGTGTTTCTCTTCCTGCCCTTCCAGTCTTCCTATCTCTTATCACTCCATCCTATGCCTATAGGCTATCTCAGCGTCCTCAGATCCTGGAGAGAGGAAGTTGTCAAATCCTCTTGGATCTGTTGCCCTCTGTCCCTGCTTTGTGGTCCAAATCCTGCCTGTACTCAGCAGAGCTGCAGAGAGGCCTCTAGTTGGGGGGTGGGAATGAGGATGTGGGGAGTAGAGGTATAGGGGTGGGCTTCAGGGCATGAATGGCACTTCTTAGGAAAAAAGTGTATCCGTGGAGGCCAGCAGTTAGAAAGCCCCTGCTGCCATCTCATCACTTGCTTTTTCCTCACTTTACTGTTGGCAAACCTGTCAATAGAATAAACCCTGCCATTTGTTAACCTCATCCTGCCAGTCAGGCCCTGTTCTAGGGACTTTATATACAAGATCTCACTTTATTTTCATTATAATAATAACATTCGCACAGTGCTTTATAGTTTGCAAGGCATTTTTTCATCTGAACTTTGCTGTATCCCTTTGAGAGAGTAGTTCAGTTTTATTTCCATTCTGTGGATGGGCAAGTGACTTGCTTGATGCTGCTCTGCATGTGATATAGGTGCTCTCTTCTAGGTTCACAGAAGTGGCCAGGCTTTCCCATGGGAGCAGCTAAAGGCTCTTCTTGAAAAGAAGTGTTTTATTTCTACCTATTTTAGAACTGGCCTCCTTCTAAGGCCCATGTGGAAGGCAGCCATGTCTCAGAACACTACTATATATGTGTCTTTCTCTCACACACTCAACTATACAGGCACACACACAAGCCTTGTGATCTCATTTTTGGAAAGAAAGAATGGCTTTACTTTGATAAGCTCTCTTGAGGATGAGAAATAAAAATAAAATCCTTTGTCCCTCAACCAACTGAACAAGACCCCATCTTGGCCAGGGGCACCCCAGATAAACCTTAAAACTGAGTTCCTGGCCATGATGGGATGGAAAATTGGATACCTCATTATACCCCCTCCTTAACTGCCATGGGGTTAACTAACTTAACTAACGTCCCTAACTGCCATTAGGGAAGAAATGGGGGCTTTCTTCCCTAATGGTTAAACAGAAACCAGCCCTCTGGAAAGACTCACTCCGCCAATGATTTCAACTAGCCTGTGACTGTCCCTCCCTTTTACAATTTAGACACAGCTGACCAGCACTCCTTCCTGATGAGAGACCACTGACCACGGAGTGGTTCTGGCCAGTCTCTGTGAAGGCTGCGCACAGAGGGCCTTTGTGTCCTCTGCTTCACCTTTTGACATCAGGCAAGCCTAAAACTCCACTCTTGGATCATGCTAATGCCACCATTTTTGTACATGTGACCCACAACAGGGCAAAAACTCAATTACACATATGCATGTTTTTCCTTTTGCAAATATTCAAGACTCCTCCTATAGCCTTTTAAAGATGTATATTCCACTACCCCATCAGCATAAATTTCTGTTTCCTTTACCCTTCCCTGGAAGTGTTTGCTCTGGGCTTCTGCCTGAGGCTCTGCTTCCCTGCCTGCACAATGGTTGCCTGCAGGCTGCATCCCTTATGAGAAATTAAGCTCTCCTTTCCAAATTTATGAACTGCATCATTCTTCAGTTGACAAAGGTTTAGTGTGTACCAACCTGTGGCTCCCAAGAAACCAATGCAGTCATCATCCTACCTAGAGTTTCTGCCTTAAGTCTTTGCTACCTATTCTCCTTTGGGAAGCACAGGGCTGGGCACACAGTAGGTGCTCTGTAAGGAAAGATGACAATCTATGTTTACCTATTAGTGATCTATTGCTGCATACCAAACCCAAACTTAGCAGCTTAAAACAACACTCACTTATTATCTCACAGTTTTCGTGGGGCAGGAATCCAGACAAGATTTAACTGGGTGTTTCTGGCTCTGAGTATCTCATGAAGTTGCCATCAGGCTGTCAGCCGGGCCTGTGGTCATCTAAGGCTGCAGGATCTGCTTCCAAGTTCATTCATGGGGTGGGGCGGTTAGCAGGACTCGGCTCCCCCGTGGCCATTGACTGGATACTTTACCACGTGGGCCTCTCCGTAGGCTCCCTGAATGTCCTCACAGCATAACAGCTGGTCTCATCTAGAGCATGTGATTTGAGAGACAGCCCAAGACAGCAGCTAGCAGCTGCAGTCTTTTATTACCTAATCTCGGATGTGACAGACCGTCCCTTCTGCCATCTTCTGTTGGTCACACAGACCAGCCCTGGTGTAATGTGACAGGACACCATATAAGGGTGTGAATGTGAAGGCGGAGTCACCAGGGGCCGTCTTGCAGGCTGGCTTCTGAAGGAAACCCAAGTATTTCACCCCGAAATAGATTTCTCTGACATATTTTGAGATGGCTGTTCAGAGAGCCAGCAATCAGAAGTAGCCCTGCAAAGCTGTCTTTTGTGGGAGAGATTTGCATCTAGAGGAATTTTCCATGGATACAGCCAGGCTTTCTCTGAGGGCCTTCCCTTGTCCTTATTTAGGAAAGATTAACTGAGAATCTAGAGTCTGACACCTTAAAAGGTCTGGAAGAAACATTTAGCATCTATTCTCTCTGAGGTCTGCTACCTATGAGGTTTCATCTACATAACGAAACCACCTTTGCTAGCCAGGCCTCCTCTTCTCTCCCTCCCATCACCCATCTACAACCTGATTTACCACCATAACCTGTTTTTGGCCATGCTCTGAGCCCCCATTCTTTCTATAACCTCACAATGGTATATAAGCTTCCGAAACCCATTCGGGGTGTCATCCAAAAGGCCACCAGGATGGCTAAATAATAGCAAGGAGAACGTTATTGGTGATGTCGGTTTGCAAGCTAGGAATAGACAGTCTTGTGGAGTGGACTAGAGGTGCTCTAGTGCCGTGGTGTCAGCCTAGCTCACAGCAACCTCAAACTCCTGGGCTGAAGTGATCCTCCTGCCTCAGCCTCCTGAGTAGCTGGGACTACAGGCACGCGCCACCATGCCCGGCTAATTTTTTCTATGTATATTTTTAGTTGGCCAATTAATTTCTTTCTATATTTTAGTAGAGATGGGGTCTCACTCTTGCTCAGGCTGGTCTCAAACTCCTGAGCTCAAATGATCCGCCCGCCTCGGCCTCCCAGAGTGCTAGGATTATAGGCGTGAGCCACTGCGCCTGGCCTTGTTCTCTTTTTTGAAGAGGGGAAGGACAATTTGGGTTTTATATCTCACAGGGCTCACATACATATTCAGCAGGTTTGGGGGAAAAGCTATACATATTGATGAGGGAAGCCAAGTATATGTGCAGTGGGTTAACATGTGTGTAACATACATCCCATGTTCACTTTGGGTAGCAATTTAACATAAAAATGAGGTGGAATTTGGCTCTTTATGTCAAAAGGTGAACTATTAGACACAAAGACAGTTTGTGCACAGCTTCTATAAGCTGGCTGAACCTGGCATAAAGTCTGCAACAGCTTATCAGAAAATAACGTTTATAAGGCCCGTCCTCTGTCCAGTCAGAGTTGTAGTGGTCTGGGCTGTAAATCAGCCTGCTAGCTCCTGTTGTTAGGGAATTTAGCAAGGATGTGGTTTTTCTTCAACTTGTAGGAATTTAGAAATTTGCTATGCCAGCTGGGCCCTGAATACTGGACCCCTAAGTAATTGTTCATTCTTTAACCTCAGGGTTCGTCTTGGTTGCTAAGCTGGTGTCTGTTTTGGTCTCTCAGACCACAGTGGGGGCAATCGCATAATCTGCCTCTTTGGTTGATTTTTCAGCAGACCTTCAGAGGGTAAGGGGGAAGTTTCCCGTGGGGCCCTACGATACCATAATTTGTCTCTACAAATATTTTTTCAGAGAACTTGTCAAACATTACGTCAGTTTTACAACTTTTTTTGCATGACTTTATCTCATTTTCCCAATAAATC